TACTATAGAACCTTCTATATGTGAATTAACGGAGAGACAAAAGTTTTTGGATAATGGAGTAACCACTTTTTGGATATTATTAGTTTATTTCGATATGCTATGTTTATTATTTTCTAAGCTACTGAATTCTAAATAGCGTAGATTATAATATATCCAAGAAATATATATAGTTTTATTTATTATATAGGATCATAATTTCAATAGCCAGAAAAATTATAATCCTTCTAAATGTTACTTTCTGTTAATAAAATAGAAATTTTCCAACAACCATTGCAATTCAAATAGAATTTATAAATTTTCCATAAATATCTGCAATCTAGTTATGTTCGAATTACAGATCTTTATCATCGATATTCAAAGATACATATAATTTATATAATTTCTATTTAGATAAATTATATAAATAATTACGCAATGTTTAAAATTTTAATTTAGATAATTATGTAATATTCAAAATTTTTGTATAGATAAATATATATAATAATATTAAAAACTATATGGAATATCCAAATTCTTCTTATAACTTTTAATAAACGGACTAAATTTCTATTTAAATCTCATTCCTTCATTTGCATTCATAAAAATTTACGTAAAACTTTACAATCTAATTATTATCTGTAGACGAACCAGGTAAACCTGGCACGCCGATTGTCTCCGACTACGACTCGGACTTTGTCGAACTTCAATGGGATCGTCCACAAGAAGATGGCGGTTCACCCATTACTGGTTACATCATAGAGAAACGAGACAAGTATAGTCCTACCTGGGAGAAATGTGCAGAAGTCGAGGGTGACGTGAATCGTGGAAAGGTGCCCGATCTCGTGGAGGGCACGCATTACGAATTCCGTGTTAGAGCTGTTAACAAGGCTGGACCCGGTGAACCCTCTGACGCTTCTAAATCTCATTTGGCTCGACCTAAGAATCGTAATTATCACTTTGCTTTTTCCATATCATCACACGTACGCATGAACACATATACACAGTGCCACACAAATGTGTTACGCATATTCATTCGTAAGAATATTACTAATTTTATATAAATACTAATTTTATATAAATAAAATGTGATAACTTATTATCAAAAATTATTAAACGAATAATTGTTGTTAATACAATGATTATACATATTCGTGTGAGATGAAGATTCTAACAGGAAAGATTTATAGAAATTATTTGCAAGAATTGTAGGATTATAATAAATCAAATCTTTTTGAAAGAAAGATAGAAAAGATTTTAGAAAAGACGATAAACTTTTAATTTTTTGAAATCTTATTTTTTTTTATTATTTTGAATTATATAATATTTATTTTTGAATATTTCAATAATTATTTATATTTTACTTATTATTTTTGAATATTTATTAAATACCTTTATTGAAATTATGAATAATACATATTAAAATATATATAGTAATAATGTATGTGATAATATACATATTATAAATATCTAATAATTAGTAATATTTATTGTACATCCTACATTACAAAATCCAAAAGATGAATAGATGTTCTTTACAGACTATACAAATACTATAATGTAATAAATTATATTATTATGTACGTTATTACATATAATATAATATAATATTAATTTATATTGTACATTATATTATATTATATTGTATTGTATATTGTATATTAAAAAACGTTTCTTGCTTAATTCGCGTATGAATGTTCGTTTGCAGTTGCACCAAAGATCGACAGAAAGTACATGCTGGACGTGAAAGTGAAGGCCGGTGGCTTCTTCGACTTCGACGTTCCTGTTATCGGTGAACCGCCACCAACCAAACAGTGGTCGTTAAAAGGAACAGTACTCATAGCAAACGATCGTATCAAGATCATAAACGAAGACTACAACACCAAAGTCCGTGTGATCGAAGCAAAACGTTCCGATGCTGGTGTCTACACTCTCGAAGCAAAGAACACGAACGGCAGAGACAGTGCCACTCTAAATGTAAACGTGCTGGACATTCCGGCGCCACCAGAAGGACCCCTGAAGATCGACAACGTGACGAAGAACGGTTGCAATCTGAAATGGCGTCCACCGAAAGACGATGGTGGCTCAGAAATTCTATATTACCAAGTCGAGAAAATGGACACAGAAAATATGAGATGGGTGCCTGTAGCAGAGGCTTCTTCGACTTCTGCGCAGGTGGATCACTTGATCGAAGGTCACGATTATCAGTTCCGTGTACGAGCTGTGAACAAACAAGGAGAATCGTTACCACTCGTTGGTATAGATACTATCACCGCGAAGGATCCGTACGATAAGCCTGATAAGCCTGGAGCACCTGTCGCCACTGATTGGGATAAGGATTACGTGGACTTGGAATGGACACCACCGAAGAAAGACGGTGGATCACCTATCACTGGATATATTATTGAGAAGAAACCTCGTTTCGGTTCGTGGGAGAAAGCTCTGGAGGTCGATGGAGCAAAAACTAACGCCAGGATACCGGATTTGGTCGAAGGTCAGGAGTATGAGTTTAGAGTCATTGCTGTTAATAAAGCTGGTCCTGGAGAACCATCTGAAGCTTCGTCTCCTATCGTTGCGAAACCACGACGACGTAAGTAACCAATATTTCTTTCTTTCTGGTTTTGTTTTATATTTCTGGACTTAAGTTTGTTTGAGTGATCAAATTTATCATTATTGGATTTTCCTTGAGCTCAATTTTGAAATGACAGACTTTTATAATAATAATAATAATGATATTATACTCGACTTTATTCACGTGATCAAATTCAATCTGTCCCTTTTACATTCAACAGTTAAATAAAAAACTTTCAAGTCTACTTTGCATTTTCAAATTTTTAATTCGTTGAAATTCAATCTTCTAAAATTTAATTTAATTTTTAAATTGAAGACACCTAAGATCAAGTATATGTATGATCATTTTTCTTGCAGTCGCTCCATCTTTCGATCCACATGCATTGAGCGACTTGGTTGTTCGAGCTGGACAAAAGATCAGCTATATCATTCCTATCCAAGCATCGCCTAAACCTATGGCTACATGGACCTTGGACGGAGAGGTGATCATGGCCGATTCTCGCCATGAAATGTTCACTACTAATACTGAAACCACGTTTGAAATTCCATTCTCCGTTCGCTCTGATACTGGTCGTTATGCTTTAACCCTGCAGAACGAGCACGGAAAATTCAGGTGATTTTTATATTTTTATGAACGTTGTTCTGAATAGATTTAAAAATAGGTCAAACAGTATAAAAAATGAAATAAAATGCTTCAGTTCAAGCGCCAGAGTCACCGTCCTCGACAGACCATCACCACCACAGAAACCACTCGAAATCAGTAAGATCACCAAAGAAGGTTGTCACTTGGCATGGGGTCATCCACTGGACGATGGTGGCAGTCCCATATTGCATTATATTGTCGAAAAGATGGATTTGTCTCGAGGTACTTGGTCCGATGCTGGTATGAGCACGATATTGAGTCACGAAGTAGCACGATTAACGCATCGCAAAGAGTATCTGTTCCGTGTGAAAGCTGTAAACACCATCGGAGAATCCGAGCCGCTCGAAGCACCAAAGAGTATTGTCGCCAAAAATTTGTTCGGTTAGTTAATTAATTTTTATATATATTTATATTTCGCTTGTGTGTGTGTATACATATATATAATATTAAAATTATTTTAATATTTTCAGACGAACCCGATGCCCCTGGAAGACCACAGATCACAGACTGGGACAAAGATCACGTCGACCTGCAATGGCCAGAGCCAGCAAGCGATGGTGGTTCTCCCATTACAGAATACATCGTTCAGAAGAAAGAAAAAGGTAGCCCATACTGGGTCAACGCGGTCCACGTTCCTCCAAATCAGACAAGTACAACCGTGCCTGACTTGACGGAGGGACAAGAGTACGAATTCCGTGTAATTGCTGTTAACGCTGCTGGACAATCAGAACCATCTGAGCCAAGCGATCTCATCACTGCCAAACCTCGTTACCGTGAGTATAATTTTATTTTAATTTTTACTTATGAGAAATTTAAGTGTACCGAAAAGTAAAGAATATACAAATAAGAAAAGTTCATACGCTATATTGGACTTAATTAAGCGAAATAAAATTTAAACGCTATTTAGTTAGTGTTTCGAAATTTAAATATTTTTAATATCAATGTTCAAATATAAATATTCAAAAATGTTACATTTCATGAAAAAAGATAGAAATGGTACTTTTCATAATAAAATTAAGCACTTCCTTATTTGCACACTTTATACACGAAAAAGGACATAAAACGTCGCAACGTACTTCTTAAAATATCAAAAAAAAAAAAAAAAAAAAATAGGAAACGTAAAAATATAAAAAAAAAGAATTATCCCTATACTCATAAAACAGTAAACTTGCATAAATGTCCACTATCTAATTATTATTTTTCTAATTAGTACTATTATCATAAGCTATCCAAATGTCTTATTAATAATTTAATATTTCAGTTGCTCCAAAGATCAAAACGCCTTTGCAAGACATTCGAATCAAGGCTGGCCTCATCTTCCACGTCGATATCGACTTTATCGGTGAACCGACTCCAGAAGTCACCTGGACTGTTGGAAGCAAAGAATTGGAGACCACGAATAGAACAACTGTTACCTCAATTGGTTATCACACTATTGTTCACACTGTTAACGCTCAACGATCTGATTCTGGATTGTATCACTTGTTACTGAAGAACAGTAGCGGAATAGACGAAGGTAGCTTCCAAGTTATCGTTCTCGACAGACCCAGTCCACCGGAAGGTCCTCTGCAATACGAAGAGATCACAAGTCAATCGGTCACGTTGTCATGGAAACAACCTAAAGACAATGGTGGTAGTGAGATCACGTAAGTAAATAATCGTGTTTTGAAGGATGAAATTAATAAACGCAATCGCGGTCTAATAATAATTTTCTGCATTTCTTTCTTGCAAAAGAACGAAGTTGAAAGAGAAAATTGAAACAAGGCTTTCATTGTATAAGTCTTGAGAAATATTTATTTTATACAAATCTTTTTTCTTTTACAAAATGGCACGGCCATTAACATAGATTTGAGCTTAAAAGAAAAAAACAGATTTTAAATTTCTATATGATATTTTCTGGTAATGTACGCAGGCAAATATTTCTAAAGACTTACTATTAAGATCTCTATATAATAAAAGTTTTATTTCAAATTTTCCTTATTTTGCAAAGAGTGCAGAAAAATATTAATATACATGAAATAAGATAGTGTTAACAATTTAACAATTTTTATTATTTCTTTTTTAGCGGATACGTCATCGAGAAACGTGATTTGACTCATGGTGGTGGTTGGGTTCCAGCTGTAACGCACGTGAATCCGAAATATACCCACGCCACAGTACCGAGATTACTGGAAGGTACAACATATGAGTTTAGGGTAAGCGCGGAGAACCTTCAAGGACGTTCAGAGCCTCTAACTACCGACCAATCGATCGTCGCTAGGAACCAATTCGGTAAATTTTTTCTTTATCTTATCTAACCATAGAT